AGCCCTCCTGCCAAATCTCTTCCAACGTCCTGCTCCAGAGGGAAAGGGAAATGAATAGTTCATTGCAATATTGTTTCACTTTTGTGCTTCACTGAGAAAGTCTGTGTCCACCTGATAACAAGACTTCCTGCATCCCATACAAAGCTGGCTGAGACGCATTAATACTGACTGGGCTACAGACTGCTTGTTGGAGTTTCTGTTGTTTCTGAATTGAGTATTCAACCCTTCTCAAAGAGATAGTGCAAAATAGGTCAGGATTACATTTAAAAAAAATCAGGTTGTGTGTCTTTTTTTAAAGAAAAGCAAAACTGTTTTACATTATTTATTTCTAACACTGAAGTGAAAATCACTTTTTTAAAGTTTAACTAGTCTCCCAATAAGCTAGCAATCCAAACTGCCTTGAACAGAAGAACCAACAAATGAAACTAATCAGAAAGAACTAGACGCATACCTTTCATAGCCAGCCTGAATGAAATAAGTGTATTGTACAACTGAGACCAAGTAACAGCAATGAGGGAATATTTTTAAAATATGGGCCGGATCCTCATCTGATTTAAAATTATGTCCATCCACTGAAGTCAATAGAACTATGCTAATTTCCACCAGCTGGGGAGCATTCTCAGAATTTTTAACCTAGTAGTTTCCTCTCCAAGACAAGATCAATGTTAAAAAGAAAGCATTAGCAAAAGCAGTGAAGCACCAGTACATACCAGTGTTCCCTTGAACGTCTTCTCCCTTATTTAGTGTGGTTGATAGGCATGAAAGCCTGGTGCCATTGGTGTCCTGACTCGATGACTGCTGCACAGATGCACCTGTGAAGACAAGCCCCCAGTCTATGCGACTTGCATCTGAGTGTGACCGTTTATGTCCAGGCTTGAAAGTGGAGGCTTCCTCGTTCTGTACTAGGATATCATTCACAGAGCGTGGTCTGTCTCTTCTCCGCTGACAGAGATTAAAAATATCAAAAGTCAAGGCTTCCCCTTGTTCCCCCCAGGAGACATTTTCAGGGGCTGACTCCCTTTGCCCTGTAAACTGATCTTTGGCAGGGAACACTTTTGGAGTGTGGGCTTCCAAGAGGCCATTTCTGCAGCGTTCCCAAATCAGACTGCTTTTGGCTAAGGAAGTGATGTTCCTCAGGTCTCCGCCCTTCGTTATCTGACTGAATACTTCATGTCCTACCAGCTCAGGAACCTCCTGCACGCCATACACCTCAGAGGGCTGCACAATCTTTTCCAGCTTAGCATCAAAACTACTGAAGAAATCTTCAGTCACTTCCAAGGCCGGACTGATGTCATCAACTTCTAGTGCTTCCATTTCTTGTGTTGCTGGAAGACCTGAGTTGTCAGTGCCAGTTTCAGAAGATGCTGCATAAATGCCCAAAGACAGAGGATAAAGATGCTTTAGGAATGCTTGTAGCACCACACAGGCCTAGATATTGCAGGATAAAGACAACTGCCTCCAATTCCTTTGGAAGCCGTTGGCATGAGAGTTTAACTTCGGACGTGTTACTTAACTTCCATGTGGAGAATGTTCCACCACACATGAAGTTATTTATGCAGGTACTGGGAATGTGATTAAGTTGTTCATGGCAATCTGGAGTTCCTGTAAAACAGAGCACAGCATCATTTTAATAAACCCTCTTTCTCTCAAGTGAAGCTATTTAACTTTGATTTTTCCCATCGTGGTCCCCCCAATTTATTGTAAATAAAGTCTCCTTACAGGGCTTCTGGTTTCCACTGAGTGGGAGATTACATGTTATCACTTTTTGAACTGGAACCTGTACAGAGCAGGGTGGGGCACCAGATAAGTGGAAGCGGAGGTGATACCATTTATTAGCCAAGATAAGCTTTTCAGAGCTATAGTGAAAGGTCCTCTTAATTAGCTTTCTGTGATACTGTGACCTATGGAACACTCAGTGAAGGCTTCTATATGAATATAAGGGAACCTAAAAAAATATTGAAATTAATTGGGAGACTTTAGAATGTGAGTCATTCTGGAAACATTAAGGCTGAACTTAGTTGTGCTTACTTTGCTTGTGAATACTTTGCTGTCTGAACTTTATTATAAATAATACAGTGATTACCTGGCTAAAGAATCAGGGCTGAGAGGCTAACACTGACCTGGACCCTGAATTCCTTTCTTACCTTTTGGACAGCCACAGGGCATTTGAGAGACAAAGTGCGTGATGTAATATCTTTTCTCTGTTAACAGAAGTTGGTCAAATAAAAGATATTACCTCGCCTACCTTGTCTCTCTAATATTGTGGCATGTAAGAGCATAGCAACATAAGGCTAAACAAAAGCCAGCATTGTCCAGAGGTGCTGTTATCCTACAGATCATCACCTCCCAGCAGCTGGCATACTGATGTCTCTGCAAAGAGCAGAGGCTGAAATGAGTTTTGAAGCCTAAACCTGTGAAGCAGTGAGATGGGACTAGAGGGAACTCAGCTCCTCCCAGGAGCAGGCTCTCAGTACTCATCCCAATACAGTGAGGGGCTGCTCCATCACCGGGGAGGCGATCCCAGTCTCCTCCCACTTCTCTTCAACTGAGGTGCCACTGTTGTGAGCAGGTGCATCTATAAGGAATCCAAATCAATCAGTAGCACACCTCTTTGGATTCCTGTCCACACCTGTGGGGGTATTTCTGTTAGTCTAGTTATCCTGTATTTAGACAAACTTCACTAGTGCTGGAGGAAGTCACTGTTGACATTGAACTTAATACAAAACACAAAATATTTAAATCTCTCTTTTATATGGAAAAACCCCTTCAGTATAGTGTGAATTTGCCATTTCAGAGGCTGGCCCCATAGGTGGATAAAAATCCACTACTGCTGCCAGCTAGAGCAGTTACTCCTTTAGCCAAACTCTAACTTTAGCTCTACTTTTAATGTAGCAATTCTTGCAGCTGCTCCATTTTTTCAAAGAGAAGACAATTTAATTTGTTTGGAACAGCGGGGAACAAAAAGTCTTATCGAGGGGATGGTCTATATTCCCCAATAATTCAATTTCCACCCACAGTTTGCTGTATTGTGGCAAATTACTTATTTTTACTGTTTAATAACATACAGCCTTCCATCATCTTTGCTAACTGGATTTTAACTGTTGCAATTCAGAAATGATGGTCTTTTTAAAATGCTTTCCAAGATGTTCTTTAAAAACAAAAATATGCATAACCACAGACACTTCAAACTTTCTCCTGTTTTTCCTCACTTGTGAATATGGTAGGTCCTCAAATCATGCTTCATACAGAAGTTTTAAATAATATTCTCTTGGTGCTTATCAAACCAAACACCAAATCCTAGCATAACCCTAAGCCAGATCTGGACATCACTCTGTGGTCCATCTCTACAGCTGGAGGAAAATTCTGGCTCCACTTAAGTCAATGGGAGTTTAACCATTTGTGACAGATGTGATGATTGCCTAAAATATCTGTGGGTTATGTTGTTGCATTAAGTTTGTGTATCATTCTGTACGAGGGATTGTATGAAGGGTGGCACAGTGCTACATCATGACGTGGCTTTGCCCCATCACCACCATATTGTGATGCAATATACCCTGCACAAACTTATAAAAGGTAATTTGAGTGGGGGCGGTTCTCTCTTTCCATGCAGCATGGGAAATGCTCCCTTACAAAATGAGAGACCCTACATAAATGCACAATGAGTTATCATGAGTGCTGAGATACTACACTGAGACTTCCTCTACAGCAGTGGTTACCAACCAGATGATCAGAATTGACTGGTAGATCTGGGAACCTTTGACAGGTGATCCTGACAGGTTTGGCTGGGAAGCTATACAATGCCGGCACTTCATCTGCTCCTCTCAGCACTGCCATGCTGCTCCTGCCCTCTACACTGGAGGTGTGTCCCCTCCCCCCCCGGGAGCCTCCAACTTCCTGTGCAGGGCACAGGAAGAAGAGGAGGGGGTGCTGATGTCAGGGTGCCTCACCCCCACCCTGTACCCCGTCTCCTCAGAGCAGATAGCAGGGATGGAGAGAGTTTGCTGGCTGCTTTTGGAAGTGGTGCAGGGCCAAGGTAGGGGTGAGCCTGTCTTAGCCCCCCTGCAACATCACCAAGGACCCATCTGTGGTAAGCGGGGCCCAGTTGGAGCCCACATTCCAAACCCCGGCTCCAGTCCTGAACCCAAACTCCTGCCCTATCCCTGAGTCCCCCTGCACCCAACCCTTTCCCAGAGCCTGCACTCTGAACTCCCTCCTACACCTCAATTCCCTACCCCAGACTTAACTCAGAACCCCTCCCACACTCCAAAACCGTTAGCCCAAGATAAGTGTCTGCATCCTCTCTCCCACACCCAAAACCTCTGTCCCTAGCCTGATAAAAATGAGCGAGGACGGGGGGAGGGAGGATGGAGTGAGCAGGGGCGGGGGTCTCAGAGAAGGGGCAGAAAGGAGGCAGGGGAAGGTTGTTTGGGTTTAAAGTAGATTCTGGATCAAAAAGTGATCTCATGCTTAAAAAGGTTGGAGACCACTGCTCTACAAGAATACCTCAAGTAGACTGCATCTGTCAATGACAAGCTCTAAGAGCTCCACTCGGCCTTTTTCATCTAACTAGGATCCAGTGAAACTGGATTCTGGTATCCAGATAAACAACTCGATTGGATTGTCATGTCAGATGCCAACGTGACGGCTGTTGAATTTGGTTCCTACATTGGAATGAACCCCCACTCCCCATTTTCCATAATTAAAAATAAATAATTTAAATAATTATAAAGTAGTGTTGTTTTATTATAACTCAGAGACAGCATTGAAAGGGATGTGACCTACTTACTTTAGGTGAATTGCTGGGAAAAAAAGTCTTAAAACTGGATTTTGAGTAGCTGAAAACAAGCACATGCTTCTCTGTGTTTATCTCTATATGATATACACACAGAGATAGATGTGTGTGCGGCACCATAGAGGTTTTATCCGCATGAGTTTGCTATCACCTTATACTCTCATGAGGTGAAACTAGAGTGAGACCTGCAGGTCTTTCCAAATGAGGGACACAGATGAAACAAAGTTATTTAATTCAGTCAAGACTAGGATATTGTGAGGAGCTTGTGGCACTTTCTCAGGAACCTAGCTTTGGGTAACACAACAGCAAAGGAAATTCAATTTTATAAAACAGTGGGTAACAAAAATTGGAAGGGATCATTCAAGCTACCCACTCACGCATCTTTCTGGGTTCTAAAGTAACTAATCTTATTTACTAAACTATATGTCGTCTGCAGAAGAGAAGAGTGAGGAAGGATTTGATAGCAGCCTTCAACTTCCTGAAGGGAGGTTCCAAAGAGGATGGAGAGAGGCTGTTCTCAGTAGTGAGAGATGGCAGAACAAGGAGCGATGGTCTCAAGTTACAGTGGGGGAGGTCTAGGCTGGATATTAGGAAAAACTATTTTACTAGGAGGGTGGTGAAGCACTGGAATGGGTTTCTTAGGGAGATGGTAGCATCTCCATCCTTAGAGGTTTTTAAATCCCAGCTTGACAAAGCCCTGGCTGGGATGATTTAATTGGGATTGGTCCTGCCTTGCGCAGGGGGCTGGACTTGATGACCACCTGAGGTCTCTTCCAGCCCTAGGATTCTAATCACACAAGGAAAGTCTGTGGGCATGCCTATTGCCTGCCAGTTCATGCCTATTGCCAGTTCAACAGTGAAACTTAACACAAAGCAATGTACCAAGAGTGTACAACATGCCAGGATGTGGGGACAGAAACTATCCTGCAAACATTAGCATGATGTTCTATCCATCAATGGTCTGCGCTCACCTTGAAAATTGAATTCCAGTCTGGTCACCTGACAACAACAACAACAAAAATATAACATAGCAAAGTTAAAAAAAAAAAAGAGAGAAAGAGAAAGAGAAAGAGAAAGAGAAAGAGAAAGAGAGCTCAGCAATAGAAGGGTTCCAGAGATGGGTGACACAGAGTCCATACAAAGAAAAACAGGAAGAGAATAGCACTGTTTTGTTTAGGGAAGAGATTAATAAAAGATCAAGGCATATAAAATAATGAACGCTATACACAGAGTAAATCAGGTGTTCCCATTTACCATTGCATAATATATGAACAATGGAACATTCAATTAAATTCAGAAGAACACATTTAAGACTGACCAATGACAGGAAGTACCTAACCTGGAAAGCACTATGTTACAACACTGATGGCTAAGGGTACATTTTTCAAAAGTGCCTACGTGGGTTAGGAGTCTAAGCATCACTGAAAGTAGTGAGCTTTCAAAAATGTTACACTAAAACATTAGGAGGGAATTTTGATAACTTGGCTGCAAGGAAGTGCTGAGTGCTCCACCTCCCACCAGGCAAATTTTGGAGATAAATTCTACAGTTATAGGAAAAGGAAGGACATATTTTTTTTCTGGCAGACTGTTCATTTCTTTATGGCTGATGATGGAAGCTGGAACATTTGGAATGGACCTAAAGGAAATGGGTAAATAAGCAGAGGGGATGAGTAGGTTGCAGTATTTTCCTACTATTATAATAAGACATAACTGGGTATCCACTGACTAATTTGATTTTAAGGGGTGTTTTTTTAATACACTTTCATAACTTGACAGTCCAACTGTAAAATCCGGAGTAGAAGCATTTCTCTATCAAGGCCGCTGATTTCCTTTTCTCCTCAGGGCAAATATTTCAGGATGAGGGACAAGGATTTGACAGCCCAAAATGATAACAGACAAATCCTTACATTGCAAGTGGATCCCTTAGGCACTAGAGATCTAGAAAAGTGCAATGGTGTCTCACGAATCCTTGTATTTACATAGCTCCTTTCACCCTGAATGGTTCCAAGGCATTTTACCAACTCCATAGAGCAGGCACAGAGAAATCAGTCGGGGGCCACACACAAGTGAGAAACAAAAAAAACCCCAAATCCTCATTGATGTGGTCCCCATATAGGGTTGCCAGATGGTTTCAACAAAAATACCAGACACACTTGACATTACATCTTATTTAGAAAATGCCGGACATTTATATTTTCTCATTGACATTTTCTCAATTTGTTTCCTGAACAGAAAGCTCAAATACTGGACTGTCTGGTTCAAAACTGGACACCTGGCAACCCTACAACTAAGAAGGAGGAAGACTCTTCCTCCATTTCCCTTGCACACCAGAGCCTAGGGGGCCCCAGGTTAGCGTGTGCTCCAGCCCCATGGGGGAGAAGGACCGTGGAGGGGCTGGAGGGCCAATGTGGGCTCTCCAATGCAGGGAGGGGGACCCTGAGCCTCAGGGGCCGGATTCAGGCAAGCAGGAGGCTGTATTCAGCCCCCGGGCCTTAGATTTCCCACCCTTGGCATATAGGTATCACTTACCCAGTGCTTAAAGAGAGACCCTTTAGAAGTCAACTGCTTGCCATATCAGGAACAGCTTTTCGAAGGGGAACTAAAGACCAACTTCTTCAGCTGAAAGCAAGGAGGAAGGACAAATGCAGTTACTGGAACTGAGCCAGTCAAAGCCAGATTAGGGCACAGTGGTTACAGGTCTGAGCCTTAGGTCCCAGCTCCTTGGGTCACATGACCACACCAGACTGTCAGCTTTCATTTACAAATAAAAAGGAGGAAGTGTTTAGTCCTTCTGGTCTCACAGAAAAGCATGAAAAAGTCACCACGGTTTAACGGACGCAGAAGCCTCTGCTGAAAGCCTAAAACACATTGGACAAATGATCCTCCCAGCAGGAGACTATTCTGTGTGGCAGGAGCAGAGCGCAGTGGGTCTCTGCCCTCCCAATCAAATATAACCTGGTTCCTGTGGTGAATTCAGAGGCCCCCTCCTTTCCATGCTCCCCAGGGAAGACAGGAGTCCTGCTTCTTAGGGACGGGAGGGCCCTTCTCCAGGGTCAAGTGAAAGTGTAACTGTCCAGGAAAAAAACAGACCCAATCCAAGAATTCCCCAAAGATCAGGCTACACCACGGCCCTAAAAAGCACTTTTCGTTATCATATATATTCTGTGACAATGCATCCAACAATTGAAGGAGAAGCTTACAAGAGTCAGAGAATCATAGAACCCTAGAGCTGGAAGAGAAGGCCATCAAATCCAGCCCCCTGCCCAAGGCAGGACCAATCCCAACTAAATCAACCCAGCCAGGGCTTTGTCAAGCCCAGACTTAAACACCTCTAGGGATGGAAACTCCAATACTTCCCTAGGTAACCCATTCCAGTGCTTCACTACCCTCCTAATGAAATAGTTTTTTCCTAATATCCAACCTGGACCTCATTCTTGCTTGTTCTGCCATCCATCACTACTGAGAACAGCCTTTCTCCAGCCTGTTTGAAACCTCCCTTCAGGAAGTTGAAGGCTGCTATCAAATCCCCCCTCACTCTTCTCTTCTGCAGACTAAATAGACCCAACTACCTCAGCCTCTCCTCGTAGGTCATATGCTCCAGCCCCCTAATCATTTTGGTTGCCTCTCCAATGCATCCACATCCTTCCTGTAACTGGGGGCCCAGAACTGGACACAATATTCCAGATATGACCTCACCAGAGCCAAATAAAGAGAAATAATCACATCTCTGGATCTACTGGCAATGCTCCCTTTAATGCAACCTAATATGCCATTAGCCTTCTCAGCTACAAGGGCACACTGTTGACTCATATCCAGCCTCTCATCCATTGTAATCCCCAGGTCCTTTTCTGCAGAACTACTACTTAGCTGGTTGGTCCCCAGCCTGTAACAATGTTTGGGATTCTTCTATCCCAAGTGCAGGACTCTACACTTGTCCTTGTTGAACCTCATCAGATTTACTTGCATACTTTGCCGAATCAGGGCCCTAATGGACATTTACTGTACATTACCATCTGACAAGCCTACACTATGCTGCAAACAGGGCAGGCCTATGTTTCTACAGAGACCAGCCCACATGTCTCACTGGAATTCTACCCACTCTTGTTGTAAGCAGATGGCATTCTGGGAAATCATACATGGTGCCCACTTCTGTTCTTTGTTTCATGTGTGTTTATTTAATTCACATTTTGTCACACTGAGCTGGTTAAAAACCCTGCATCTTTTTCCAGTTAGACAATTCAGAGATTGAAGAAGAAAACTGGCCCTAATAGCTTCCAAGATAAGCACAAAGAAGACTGAATCCTGCTGTAGCAGTCAGGTGCTGTTATAGGTGATGTCATTGGGAGGACACACCAGGCTGCAAGCACAGAGGGATTGTGTAAGTGACTGAAGTAGTAAATGTATTACTCAGGCTGATGCTTTTTACAACTAGAATTGCTGTGCTATCAGTTTGTCTCCAATCAGCAATACAGGCAGAGCCTGGGATTGGGGGGGGTGGGGGGAGAGGGGAGGCACTACAAATAAATAGAAGATTTAAAACAAATGAATAATCTGCTTTGGTTACACTAGAGACCCACTCTCACACTAAAGTACTACTGATTCTTGGGGGCATTGGTTTCCCACAAAGAAACTAATGGGGACCCATGCAAACCAGGTGAAGGACTCTAATGGACAGAATGCAGGACAATGTAGCACTTTAAAGACTAACAAGATGGTTTATTAGATGATGAGCTTTCGTGGGCCAGACCCACTTCCTCAGATCAAATAGTGGAAGAAAATAGTCACAACCATATATACCAAAGGATACAATTAAAAAAAAGAACAAATATGAAAAGGACAAATCACATTGCAGAACAGGAAGGGGATGCGGGGGGGGGGGGGGGGGGAGGAAGGTAAGTGTCTGTGAATTGATGATATTAGAGGTGGGGAGAGTGGGATGTTTGTGAGTTAATGGTATTAGAGGTGATAATTGGGGAAACTGTCTTGGAAATGCAAAGCTAGTCACACCTTGTAGTTCACCTGAACTTTGATTATTAAAAAAAAAAAAAAAAAAAAAAAACACGATTTAATAACTGGCATAAAATAATTTAAAAAATATTTTCTGATTTCCCAGCTGGTCAGCCCTGGCAATTTTACACCTTTATTATCACCTGAAAGAATAACCACCCAACAGAGACTGAAACACAGCACAGCAACCCAACCCACTAAGATCATGTCAACCTTGTGAAAATCAGCCAACTCTGGAAGATGGTTACATCACATTATTGTTATAATAGCATATTAGCCTCTAACACAGTCACAACACAGAATTGGCTCTCAGTTTATGAACAAAATATTATAAACTTTATCTTAAGCGATCTTTGCAAAAGTTCAGCAGAAACCTGACCACAGCTGATTACCTTAAATGAAACATACTATATTATTTTTAAGCTGCCAAAATCAGTCAGATCCCAGGAGGCCAGAAAATGTGGTGAGGGGGGCTATGTAAGTCTCTGTATGTGTAGCTTCAGATACATTATACAGTTCCTTATTCCACTACATTGAGTTTGTGATTTTTTTAAATCTGGAATTATAAACCTGTAAACTTCAGATTCAGTAAAAACATCACTAACCCCAAACCCTCCCAAACTGTCTATTGGGGCTACAGTTACCTGAAATGACTTGTATTGTGCTTCTTCAAAGATTTTCCACGTTTATCTTTATGCACTGCAAGTAGCCTTATTCACTTCTGTGAGTAAAATTACATGTCTGAGCAAGTCTTTGCAAGCTTGGGTCCTTTAATATTTGTTTTCTGAGAAATAAATCAAAGAATTTTTTTCCTGTCATATCACTCTATCCTAGTAAATGGTGCCACTGACCATAAAATCTAAACTAATACTATTAGTATTATATAGTCCCACAAGGTAGGCATATGTTTTGTAGGATTAAATAATCCCATTACCAATAATTCAATTACTATTGCTCAGGTACTTGTCCCACGAGAAAGCAAAAATTCTACTGCATAAAATAAAACAAAACATTTCAATGCACTTTCCCCTAGCAGAGAGTAATGTATTTGTATTGTGTTGCAGATATTGACATACCCACACAATGAAATTGGATTCTGCCTACTTAGGGCAATCAGAATTCCAGCTGAGGTCATTAAGAGTTTGGGGTGTTGCCAGAATTACAAAGACTGGACCTTTATAAAAATCTTTGTATGTGTGTGTGTGTGTGTGTGTGTGTGTCAGTTTCTCATATCTAGCTATACACACACACACACACCCCTTTGTGTTATAAATAAAAAACATTGTATACACTGAGGTATGCATACATGTGTGTGTGTGTGTCAGTTTCTCATATCTAGCTATACACACACACACACACCCCTTTGTGTTATAAATAAAAAACATTGTATATACTGAGGTATGCCTACATGTGTGTGTGTGCATACAATATAGAAAGAAATACAAACACACCAGCAAGTTGATGGGCACCACAGGCAAACAGACAGACAGACGTGTGTGTGTGTCAGTTTCTCATATCTAGCTATATACACACAGACACACACCCCTTTGTGTTATAAATAAAAAACATTGTATACACTGAGATATGCGTACATGTGTGTGTGTGTGTATGCATACAATATAGAAAGAAATACAAACACACCAGCAAGTTGATGGGCACCACAGGCAAACAGACAGACAGACGTGTGTGTGTGTCAGTTTCTCATATCTAGCTATATACACACAGACACACACCCCTTTGTGTTATAAATAAAAAACATTGTATACACTGAGATATGCGTACATATGTGTGTGTGTGTATGCATACAATATAGAAAGAAATACAAACACACCAGCAAGTTGATGGGCACCACAGGCAAACAGACAGACAGACGTGTGTGTGTGTCAGTTTCTCATATCTAGCTATATACACACAGACACACACCCCTTTGTGTTATAAATAAAAAACATTGTATACACTGAGATATGCGTACATATGTGTGTGTGTGTATGCATACAATATAGAAAGAAATACAAACACACCAGCAAGTTGATGGGCACCACAGGCAAACAGACAGACAGACGTGTGTGTGTGTCAGTTTCTCATATCTAGCTATATACACACAGACACACACCCCTTTGTGTTATAAATAAAAAACATTGTATACACTGAGATATGCGTACATATGTGTGTGTGTGTGTGTGTGTGTGTGTGTGTAAACACAGACAGACAGACGTGTGTGTGTGTGTGTGTGTAGGTGTGTGTGTGTAAACACAGACAGACAGACGTGTGTGTGTGTGTGTGTGTAGGTGTGTAGATGGGTGTGTGTGTGTGTGTAGGTGTGTGTGTGTGGTGTGTGTAGGTGTGTGTGTGTATGTGTAGGTGTGTAGATGTGTGTGTGTGTAGATGGGTGTGTGTGTGTGTGTGTAGGGGTGTGTGTGTGTGTGTAGGTGTGTGTGTGTGGTGTGTGTAGGTGTGTGTGTGTATGTGTAGGTGTGTAGATGTGTGTGTGTGTAGATGGGTGTGTGTGTGTGTGTGTAGGGGTGTGTGTGTGTGTGTAGGTGTGTGTGTGTGGTGTGTGTAGGTGTGTGTGTAGACAGCGCAGACTGACCAACCTGTGACGCGTGCTCTGCTCTGCTCTGCACAGAGCGCTCCCGACCCAGCCAGCAGCCCGCCAACGGGAACCTTCGCCTCGCGCTTGGCGCGTCACAGCGCCACTGGGCCAGTGGCCCGGGCTGCACAATGACTCCTCACGGCGCGAGGACAGGCGTTTCCGCCCTCGGCTCTGTTTACACGCTGCGGTCCCCGCTCAAACCCGTCCCTCCCGCAGCGAGGGAAACAGAGCCTCGGCCAGCAGGGTTCCCGCTCGCGGGCGTTCCCGCGCGCTGCTCCCCTTGTCCTGTGCTCGGTCTGTTCAATCCCTACGGCTCTTACCAGGCAGCTCATATGGAGATTAGCAAGTGAAAATTAACCCTTCATTGTGCCTGTGTGTTTCCAGTCCGAGCCCTCTCTTCCCTGCAGGTTAATTCTGTGCACCTGGTATAATGCACATGAGAGTGTGACCTAGTGGCTAGTGCACTGAAGAGGGACTGGAGCCGAGTTCTACTCCCAGCCCTACCGCAGGCTGGCTGAAAGCATGCCATTTAACCTCTCTGTGCCTGGTTTCTCCATTTATACAAGGCAGCAATAATGCTGAGCTCTACTGATAAAAAGAACTAATATCTTTATTGATATACAGAAGTTGTAGCCATTTGTTTTCTCCTGTCCTGGACTTACATTGAAAGTTCTTCGGGGAGAGACTTCCTTCTTTGATCTGTGTTTATACAGCATCACATTGAGCAGGCTGCTGGTCCATGACAAATCTACTCAGGTGCCTTTGGACTTCATCCATATGAAGAAACCAGCTATGATAAAGAGCAGCGAGTTAATGTTTGACTGAAGCCAAATGAGCCACATGATGTAACCACGTTCCTGATAAGACCTCCTCTTACCTCCTTATTTGACTTACAAGGTGAGTAAGTTCATTTCTACATCTTTTCCCCTCCCCTCTCCCCCCACACCTTTTCAGTCAATAGGATGACACATAGCAGGAAGTTTTGGCTCATCATTAGGCTACTTTAAGGTGGGTGCATAACTGGCTGGATAACTATTCTCAGAGAGTAGTTATCAATGGTTCAGAGTTATGCTGGAAGGGCATAACATTTGGGATTCCGCAGGGGTCTGTTTTGGGGCTAGTTCTGTTCAATATCTTCATCAACTATTTAGATAATGCATAGAGAGTATGCTTATTATATCTGCAGGTCACACCAAGCTGGAAGGGGTTGCAAGTGCATTGGAAGATATGGTCATAATTCAAAATGATCTGGTCAAACTAGAAAAATAGTCTGAGGTAAAGGACAAACGCAAAGTACTCCACGTGGGAAGGAACAATCAGTTTCACACAAACAGAATGGGAAGTGATTGTCTAGGAAGGAGCACTGCTGAAAGGGATCTAAGGGACATAGTGGACCACAAGTTAAACATGAGTCAACAGTGTGACAAAGTTGCAAAACAAGTATGATTCTGGACTGCATTAACAGGAGTATTGTGAGCGAGACACGAGAAGTCATTGTTCCGCTCTACTCTGTGTTGATTAGGCCTCAATTGGAATATTGTGTCCAGTTCTAGGCACCACAGTTCAAGAAAGATGTGGAGAAATTGGAGAAGGTCCAGAGGAGAGCAACAAGAATGATTAAAGGTCTAGAGAACATGAGCTCGAGGGATGAGTGAAAGAATTGGGCTTGTTTATTTAAGAAAAGAGAAAACTGAGGGGACATGATCTTCAAGTATCTAAAAGGTTGTTAAAGGAGAAGGGAGAATAATTGTTCTCCTTGGCCTCTGAGGACAGGACAAGAAGCAATGGGCTTAAACTGCAGCAAGGGAGGTTTAGGTTGGACAATAGGAAAAGCTTCCTAACTGTCAGGGTGGTTAAACACTGGAATAAATTGCCCAGGGAGGTTGTGGAATCTCCATCTCTGGAGATATTGAAGATAGATGTCTATCAGGGATGGTCTAGACAAGTGGTCCCCAACGTCTTGGGGCTGCCGGGTGCCCGGGGGCGGGGCCGCTCATGCACTGCGTGTACGGGGACAAGGCCGCTCACAGACCACGTGCCTGGGGGCGGGGCCAAGCATGTGCCGCACGCCCGGGGCCGGGGCCAGCATGTGCTGCGACCCTGGGCAGGGGCCACCCATGCGCCCAGGGCTGGCACCTGCCACATGCCCGGGGACGGGGCCAGCCCAGATTGCTCTGCGGGCGCACATAAATGGCCTGGCGGGTGCCATGGCGCCCACGGGCACCACGCTGGAGACCACTAGTCTAGATGGTGCTAGGTTCTGCTGTGAGGGCAGGGGACTTGAATGAGTTCTTGAGGTCCCTTCCAGTTCTAGTGTTCTGTGATTCTCATGGGAAGCGGAGATCTTGGTGGCTGGGACGCTATAGCTTTAGGCTCACATGACTGCACTGCAGCAGCTTTTTCCATTGTACTCCATTTCATTTGATGAGTGTTTGAACCAAGATTTCAAACAATGTGTTCCATCCACTATCATGGGCAAGTTGGGGTAGGAGTCATGAGGGACCTTTATTTCAGTTTGGTCAATAACCTTGTAGCTGTGATTTTTCCTGCCCCCACTTACCCTGTTGTAAACACTTTGGAACGGCCTCCTGGCAGTAAAGTGTAACGACTGCAATAAAATCTTACCTTGGTGGCCCTTGTTTGCCTTGCAAGATAGAGTGAGAATGTACTTAACTGCCACTTCTGCTAGCCCACTCTGTTAACTGGTCAGCTTACCTGCTTCAACAGAGGCATTGAAGGAAGAAGAAATGCCCTGCTGGGGGGATTGGCACTGTGGGCTCTGGGGGAGAACAGGTGCTGGTGCTAGTTAAGATCAGCAAGGCGGGCAGTGTACCTGTCCCCTCCACATGTGGGGCCAGTGAGTGTGTTGTGATCCAACTGCATGAATCTGTTCTTCCCCTGAAAAGACTTCATGAGGGTAATGCTGAATGAGCCTCTAACCCAACCACCCTTCTGCATTGTTTTCCTCCTGATGGGTTCGCTTATATCCCCCAGCCTGAGGGCATACCCATTTCTAGACACCCCTCTCACTGCTCTGGGAGCACTGTCTCACAGGGAGAACAACCGTCCCTCCCATACCTCTGACATCCAACGTGCTGGGGGAAACCAGCTGTTATGGGAATTTTTGCCCCTTTCCTGTCCTATTTGCACACTGTGTACTACCCAAGATTCAGCTCGGAAAACTCAAAGTTCTTTGAAGCCCCAGCCCTTTTCTCAGAAAACACAGTAGAGGAGTCACTCACATCACCTGGGCCTTCCAGTCTACATGGAAATACTTTTCTTCAAGGACATGCCATTAAAAAGTCACCCTTACAGTTCCTCGGCCTGACTCTGTCGCCATTAGTTGCATGGAAGAATTGAAAGCTTCCATACAGTGTGAATTTACAATGCCCAACTTGCCTGTGTCATACAGGTCAGACAGGTGACCAAAATGGTCCCTTCAGGCCTTGGAGGCTATGGACTTTGATAATCCTTCAATTACTCATTTTTTAACAGGCAGCCCAAATGGCAGAAGTAGAATGTAACATTTCTATTAGGTGGGCGTGACCACAGCAAGGGCCAGGTTCAGTGGTCTACGGCAACATTTCTAAACTAACAATAATATATGTGTGGCCTGGATCCCCACCCAGACCCCAGTCTGAGAAACTAACCTCCCTCATCAACTGCCCAGGCCTCTCGTCAATCACCGTCAATCCAGACACAGACTGCAGAGCCAGCAGGAACGAATTCCAGCCATGTGCAAGAGAGACCAACACAAACCTTGGCGTGGGGATGGTGCTCATGCTGAAGAGCTGCTGCATTGCCCCTAGTAAGTGACTCATGAGTTCCTGCAGTTCAATCAATCAGACACTAAAAACGAGTTTGGAGGGTCGTCGGGAAAAAGAAAGGCCAGGGCTTGTTTCAAGAGTTGCACTTCCCATTCATAGCGAACTCAGCCATTCTCATACAGACAATCTCGTAGCAAGTTAATAGTAAGAGCCCTACTAACACTTGTATGTACTGTGTAAATACAATCCCTGCATAAGGGCGTGTAGTTGCTAGGCTCAAGTAAACCAGCAGCGGGGAGCAATCAGGCCTATGTATGTAAAAACTGAAGCCGAGGTGTCCTTGTATTAAGCACGTTTTGTTTACAAACTAACCTCACTGGCTTGTGACTAATGCCATAGGCAGGTACATAATGCGCAATTGCTAAGCCAAAGTGCACTTAATCCAGTGCCTGGTTCTGCCCCACTCACGGGGAATAATATCACCTGCTGCATTGCCTGGAGGGGAATTTTGTCTCCGAGTCCATGGGCACAGAACCTTGCCCTGAATGCTGGATGCACTGAGCCCTGCACCTGCTACTGAACTCAAAGGGCACATGCACAGCAGTGCACAACAGGCTGCTGGGGCCCTTCCTCTGAGCATGGTCTCTGGCTTCACTGGCAGCAGGACTGGCCCCATAAACAGGGACAGATCCCATTCACTTCAATGCAAACCCACAGTGTAATTCTGAACTGTCAGTTTGCAAGCATGACCTATTCCCAGTGAAATGAAGCAGCTGCATGTGTGTTTGGTACCAAGTTAACTCTAGAGGAGCCCAGGAAAAATAAGGAGGGTGAAATAGACACTTCCATGCCATCAGTATGTAACCAGTAGTGACACTGTTAACTGTACCTAGAGATTTATGTCACGTGCTGCTGCACAGCCATAAAGCAACAAAGCCCTTCTTTCAGGGCAGAGACGAGTCTCACTCCGTAAAGCTCTGATCCCACTGAACTCACAGAAGATTTCCGTAGGTGGTAGATTGGACCCTACAAGGCGAAGGGAAGCCCAAAAGGCTTGTTACATTGGCAGCATGTAACTGACTATCAGCAGTTCTAATGTTATCAGGGTGCTGGGAGGGTGGCCTTGCCTCCCGGTCAGGGCATTGGGGGAGAGAGACTGACCACGATCTGTCAGACAATGCTGGCTGGCTCTAGGGGCACGGTAGGGGCTGTGGGTGGAGGAGGAGAAAGCATGCCATGCTGGAGGCCAGGCTGTCACTGCCTTGCACATGTGGGGGGGTGGGATGTGAAGGGCCACTGGAACGCACCCCACATGCAATTTTTGTGAGTACTACTAGGGCTCATCACCTTCCCCTTTTCTTCCATCTCATGGACCACAAGCTTAGATGTTAGCAGGTGTCAGAGCGCATGGAAGTGCAGT